AAATACACCTTTTCAAGTCAGATAGATGAATCGAAAATACTCAAGTTGACAGCCCCTCGACTGTTGCTCTAAGGTTGTCTTCATTTTCAGCTAAATTGAGAGTAGAAGAAAGTATTTTTATCAGCACTGCTGGGTAGTATATCATATTTGACAGATACATGTAAAATAGCCGGCACCGGTGGTGTAGTGTTAAGCATGACTGCTTTCTCACCCCAAAGGGTATGGGTTAAATCCCAGCCGAGGTCAGTGGGATTTTTCTGAGGCATAAAAATCTCTGGTCACGTCTTCCTTCGGAAGGGAAGTAAGACTGTTGGTCCCGGCCCATGTGTGTTGTGAATGGGTGCGATATCCTACGCAGGTGTGGAAGCAGTATTCCTGCGCATTCTATGGCCGTCAATGGATAGAAATCGATGTCCGTCGGTGATTGGCACTAGATTGCGGAACAGAGACCGACGTTAAATAAAGGAATGAACACATACATACATGGGGGGGCGGGGTAATCGAAATTTATTTTCATCGTTCCCATTTCTCCCCATAGAGGGATGACCTCGATCGCATGAAGCATGTTCCTCGGGTTTTTACGGCTAGGTGTCTACGAATAATCCATTGTGATGTTTTTTTCATGTTGAAGCATGATTGTTAAGAAAATAAATATCGCGATCGAACATACAAGCTTGGCACTTCACCGATTAGTTCTTTGTTGTGTTGTTAGGTATGTCCTTAACATGATCATGAGGGCCGTGGTTGAAGACTGATAGTAGTCACGGTGGGCCGATTCACTTTACAGCGTATATCACGTTATATACGGCGTCTTGCAATGAACACTCATACATCTAGTTTGCACTGGAAATCTTATGTATGAGGGCTCATTACAAGACAGCCTATATTACGTGATTTCCCGTCTTACGTAAGGACCAAATCGAAACAACGAACGTCGCGTAAAAGTATAATTTAATGAAGGCATAAGCGCTTTTTTGTCTCCAGGCTTAAAAAATAATCGGTAGTAGATGCTTATTATTGTGTAAGTGGCACAACCGTGGAGATTGAGTTTGAATAAATCCTAGATCCTATTGTATTATTTTTTATATATTCAATGATAAATATTAAAACACTACTGGAAGAAGCAACGTAACATCATTCGATTTTCTCTAATGTATGTTTAACGTTTGTATGCAATTAACCATTATATTTTTTCATTCCAGGTGAGAAAATAACTTTTTTTTTTTATTATAGTCACTTTAACGCTCTTGGGTCATTCGTGACTTGTCCGGGGGTGAGATTTGAACTCGTGACTTTGGCGTGAGAGGTATGGACGCTAACCACTGCACCGGGGTCACCCCATTGAGTGAGTCAAGAAAATAACATTACTTGTTGATATATTTATTTGTATACTTGTAAAAACTTATTTAATCCGATTCTGAATATGAGTGATATTGTGTTCGCGAGTCCTCCGTTTAGGCTGGATTTATTGATTTAAATCTTTAAGTTTATTTTCAGCTCTCTGATGATGGAACATTTTTAGATTAATATTATAACGATTCACTTTTTTCAGCCTTCGTTCGGGAAAATACAAAAAAACATTGTAATGCATGACTACAATTGCATGAAAACTGTTAACTATCTAAATAACCTCGATTGTTCTGACTATTGATTCATTATTAAAGTTTGCCAATATTTTTAAAACCATTCCATATTGCGTTAAGCCATTCCATGGTGTATGTGTATTTGCTCATTTTCCTATGCGTTGCTTCCATCTTCACTCAAGCGCAGCGTCATTGTATCTGGCGCTTGGATTCTGACAAAGTTTCCAGTTTTCTTGATTTGTTGTCTTCGGTATAAAGGCTAGTTTAACGTCAAGTTAGTTGCTTTCATGAAATTTAAAAAAATAATTAACATTTATGTATCATATCTGAAACGTTGCCCAGTAAAGGGTTAACAAGTCAACTATGCGTTTGGTGCGATACTTTAGCTCAAAAACTACCGAACTAAGTCAATAAGAACGCGTGATATGAATGTTTTCACCCATTATTCTCAAAAATAAAAGAATCGCTCTAACCGAATCATTCAAACGCCAAGTGAATTCAATGACGTTTGAATGGCATTTCAATGCGTAAGGACGAACTTAGAATCAGTAAGCCGCGTTTGGGGTCAAGAAGCAGTGTTAGATTTTTAACGATATCTCATCAATTTGTTATTTTCTATTAAATCTTACGGTACGTATGGAAAGGTTAGTACATTTAGAAGACATCTGCATTGAAAACATTATATTTTGTAAACAAAATCCGCTCGAAAAATAGAGGCAAAGGGCGGTTAGGGCTTAGTAGGCCTAAAATTAGATCCAAGCCCTATAGATCATAAAAACTCAAAAATATCATAAAGGAACAAATTTTGCTATATGTGCATGTTTTCCCCTGCAGAGGTGCTCATCTTGCCCCGGAGTATCTGAGAACGGTGTTAAAAGTTACTTTTATATTTCATATTGTAATACTCAAATGTTTAAACACTGGACCATATCAACCCTAGAGAGCTAGAGAAGACGTTGAAAAACTATGACAGACAATAGTTGAATGTATTAATTGTGATTATTACATATGCACTTGATTTTAACCTTAGGGTGGCGATCTTGCTCCGTTCTATCCTATGCTTTTTGCTTCATAATTAATGCGGATGACAAAAATTATTGGTTTAAGTCATATGTGGATCGAAAATGTGTTTTTCAAGTGATATTATACACACTTAGAAATACCTAATCTTATACGTGACGGAATCCATCTTTGACATAAGGGATGAGACGTAAACAAACATGTAGTGTAAAATTAAGCACTCCGATACTGAAAATTTCGAAAGTACGTTTGATTGAGCTGCATTTCGCGTCTATTATGACTCAATTTTATATTCAAATTGACGCTCGTATATGTCAGTCTCAGAACACCTAAATTTACATCAATTTTTCTAAGTGTGTGTTTTCAAGTGATATTAAAGCCTTTTGGTATACCTTGGTGTACGAGAAAGGCACAAAATAGATAAACACTTTTGTTTTCGTTTAACATTTTAGAATATCTCATTCTCAGTAGGTTGTGGAATTTTGACGTTTTCGGAAGGGTTGCCAAAAAGCTATGACGAATAACTTTGCAGATTTTCTTTTTGCTAGTTTTCTACTGTCTAAAGATAGTCCTAGAGCCATCTGAACGACGCTGACTTTGATCTGGAACTGACATAATTATTCCAAAAGATAAACCTTTGCCGCAGGCATCAATTCTCTAGGATCCATGGGTGAAGCGCTACGATTTTTGTCCAACAAAAGTATTGCGCATTTTGCCCCAAAGTAGACTCCTGCGCTGAAGGTTTTTTTTTCGCTCATGCCAGTTAACATACCAATGTCATTCTCATGTAATATAGGATACAGTAAAAATTAGTTTTTGTTTATTTCTTTTGCCTGAGTGAAAAACATTCTGAGAGATTATTTTCAGGAGTCTACTTTGTTTGACGTTTGTTCCGCAATTTATATTCTGAGAATATTGAAGCTTATCAAAATTTAACTCAAAAAAGAACTAGGATGTGATATGGATTTCACCTTTTGGAGTAGCCTTCAAGTAAAATTCATTTATTTTTCATTGTATTTGCCTACCGGGCTTATGGATGTTAAGATCTAAATGTTCATTGGGACAGTTCATCATTTGGGTAGCCTGTTTATGCTTAACAAAATATAATACAAGGGTTACTAACTTGCACTGTGATTAACAGTCATATTTCAAATTCACCACAAAACGCTCTCGGGCTCATACATATTTCAAAACATGATTGAATAACTCTAAACATACTTCTTTTGCTGTGTACCACCGATTCAACTTCACGTAGAGCGAAATTCGTTTCGCTTATCTATCTTCCCCAGCTAGAGGAAGCATGAAAAACAACGCTCCCTATATAACATTGTATCATCTACCGTATGTTGCGCACCACCAGGAAGGAACATGAAGCATAAAACAAACAAACAACCCGAGCACCACCGGTCCTCAAGCTGCAGAGAGTTCAAAAAGCATAACTTTTGTTGTTGCCTTTTCCGTGTCGCCGGTGACGACGACGACGACGACGATGATGGTGGTGTGAAATTGAGACACTCTCTGGTACCTACAGTAGAAGTCCCTTCGTGTGCTGTTGGGTGAGCTCTTTAAAAAGCGCGAAACGAAGAATAAGGCAATAAAATCGCAAGTCAGGGAGGGTGAACAGCACACATACTTAATAGTGTAGCAACGGTGACAACTTGGAAGGCGAACCTCACAAAAAGGGGCTTATGCGCGCAGGACCCGGCCGGAGGGAAAACCCCGGACGGGGTGGGGTGGTTGGTCGAGCGATGAAGTCAACTCGCCAAAAGGGAGGAAGTGCACGAACCAAGAGAGCGAGAGAGAACCGCACTGACAGTAACAGCAACGACGGCAGCTGAACAATAGGGTAACAACATTAAGTAGTGAGTGCGAGCGAGCATAAATCGAAGGGGCGTGTTATGTTTGGCAGTGATCATTTCGGTGCGATTCCCGCCCGGTTTTGGGTTTTATGATGCGGAGAGTCGGTTGCCTTTCTGTTGTTATGTACTTCTCCCCGGTTCGGTGGTGCGGTGGCGACGTGTGCTTTCGGAGAGTTGAGAGCATGGCACTGGGAAAAAAGAAGAAGACGAAGCAGAAGCCAGCCGGTGTGGTGTGGTGGTGCTTGCTAGGGATGTTGAAGGCACGGGTAACGAAGAATAGAGTCAGGTTCAGTCTGGCATTGAAGTCTGTCGCGAGTGGATGCTGAGCGGATAGGTAGCACGATTTTGTTTTTGGTTTTCTTAAAACGGTGAACAATTGATTACCTGTGAGGCTAGAGAGCTCTCTGTGTCAGTCTACTGGAAGCGACTGAAAAGAAGGAAGGTTGATTCGTGTTGTTAGTTGAAAAGTGTTAGCCGACGCCGTCGCTGTTTGAATGGCCGATGTTGTGCGCCCGAAGAGAAGAAAGCTAGTGATAGAGTGGTTTCATTGAAAAGGAAATACCGTACCGACGACTTGGTGGATAATTTTGCAATATTAATCAATATTGAAAAGTGTGATCGGGAAATCTAGTTAAAGCGGAATAGGCACATTTTGGAATTTTGGCAGCCATGAAGGTAATGATGTGATATATTTATTGTCGTGTTTTAAGAATCGATTGAAAAAGTATGTTATTTTTACCTAGCGATGGATTCAGAAAGTGCAGGGATTTTTCTCTAGTAACTGAACAAAGTTACATTTGTTTTACTCAAAGATTAAGGAGACTTTCAGCCCAAGGCTTGCTTGTAAGAATTACAGTAACAAAAAAAAAAACGATTAAAGTTTCAGTCAACCGTTCACCACGGTTTCAATTTTAGTCTAGCATGATAGCATGGAATTATGTTTATGTATGTATGCTGTCATAACGACTTTTTAATAATTATTGTAGCACTGCAAAACCTATTTCTGTTCGCCACGATGGTGATGATGGATTTTTTTATATTTGATTTAATAGTAGATTAATTAAAAAAAAGGTAGTCTACAAAGGTTTGAGCCTCGCGCGCGTATTACGGATATAGAGGACTGAATTTAACATTTGATAAAAAAATGCCATTTTGAAGCTTATTTGGAAGATACCTTGAATTAGTAGTAAGTTTTCTGGCAAATGTTGAGGGTTCGTGAGCATTCCTGACATTGCTGAAAATTATGATAGCATCAGATTGCGGGGTTACTAGTGTAATAGGATGCTTTGTTGATTGTTCATTAACTCTTGATTGCTTGTAATACTTATGAATATTTTAGGTGGACAAAAAGGTGAGCTAAGAGGTGGGCGCCTGAGCTTTTCCACATTCATATCGCTGTGAAGCAACTGTAAACTCTAGAGGGAATTTATATCTGTAACTGAAACCAGTTCGATTTTGTTTTGCAAACCTGGTTAAATTGTCATATTTAATTATCTTAAAGATAAATCGTCCAGCTCAAACCTTTGTAGGGGTAAGAGGTGGGACCATCATCATCATCATCATCATTATCATCATCATCATAAATTATAATTGAAAAAAGTTAAGCACGACATAGTCCTTTTTGGCAAGCAATATTGCACCATATTTCCAACACGATTGAAGTGCACCACTTTGATGTGATATTAAAATTAATTTTTCGCTGTGTGCCTTTGTAAATAGCTTTGTAAACTTCAAAACACGTTTTCTTAAAAAACCTAAGATGAAATATTTCAAAGCCATCACAGATTTGATTGTTAGGATCAACACTAACATCATGTGAAGAAAAATCTGAGGTACATGAATGTTGCAAAAAAAATGCCTTTATACATAGCGTGATCCGTTCGATAATGGTAACACACCCGAAAATTTTGTGTTCCCAAAATCGAACCGTGTCAAAATCGAACGGTTTTGTTTTGCAATAAAAATTTATGATTTTGTTTATTTTGGACCACAGTGAGTCATCTTTATGACATTATCTGTATTGGTAAAATGTTAACCGCAGCAAAAACACATTATTTTCAAAATCCGTTCAAACTCAATTTCAAGGTACCAAAATCGACCCCCGTTCCACAAACGAACGATTTTGTGGTTTTGTTGCCAAAATTTAGCCGTGCCGAAATCGAACGGGTACTGTAGTCAACAATTCAATCTAGAATGATGCATAAGCGATAGTGTTTTCAATTTCAGTAATTTAATTAAAAATGGATGGACAGTTTCTACCTATACCTCCTGTCACACATGGTTAGCCCTCCTCATAGCATAAATTGGCGTGATAACCATTATTCGAATCATTTGAAGCATTTAGCTGAGTTTTTTTTTAATTTAAAGCAAACGTTAAATGAATATACGCGTATTTCCAGGCACAGTAAAACTTTAATTGATCATTTTTAATCCAATTTTGATTCCATTTGTTCAGTTACGGATACTGATTTTAAAATAATCAATCATGAGACCTTAGTGATTAATGTCTTAGACCATGTTAACGATAACGATAATTTTGTAAAATTGAAGTGTTGGAGGAAATACTCGAAGCAAACTGTTTCGAACCTTTTTGAGAGGAGCGGGGATTTTTCATTCGCGGCCGGTAACTTAGATGAATCTACAGCTGTTCTTAATAACGTTTTGAAAACGTGTATCAACTAGTTGAGCAGAAGTTTGCTTCTTTGAGGAACTCGAAGAGCTGGTACAATTTCGATCTTGCGTCTTAAACGGAAAAGAGACAAATGGTTCAAAAAGTTTTGTAGATCTAATAATGACAATCATCATCAAAACAACAGCAAAGAGTTATGGAAAATTTTGAAATCTTTATTAAAACCTAGTAATTGCAAACCGCGGCCCATAACTTTTAATGGCCCATTAGAACAGTCAGAACAAGTAATTGCAGCTAAGTTTAATGATTATTTTGTAGACAATGTTTCATTGATTATTAAATCCATTTAATTGGTCGATGAACCTGACCAAATAAATCAGCCAGTTAATAATAGTAGTAGATTTGAAGTTTTTCCCCATGAACTTGAGTTATTTGTTTTTCATAAGGAAAATCGGCTGGAGTAGATAATGTTAATGCTAGAGTTATCCAAGATTGCTTTCATGTCAATGGCCACATCTTGCTGGACCTTATTAATGAATCATTGCAAACTGGATATGTGCCACAAATTTGGAAGGAATCTTTAGTGGTCCCTATTCAAAAAGTTGCTGGAACGATTAAAGCCGAAGAGTTTCGTCCCATCAAAATATTGCACACATTAGAGAAAATTTAAGAACTTGTTGTTAAAAGCCAGCTGTTGGAGTATTTGAATAGCAACTCTTTGTTGATACCACAACAATCGGGATATCGGAAAGGTTATTCTTGCAAAACTGCGTTAAATTTGGTATTATCGAAGTGGAAAAATAACTTGGAGTGTAAAGATACGATTGTTGCTGCTTTTTAGATCTGAAAAGCGCTTTTGAAACAATTTCTAGGCCCTTACTGTTAAGCACAATCAAGCGCTTTCGAAATACGAGTACTGCATATAAATGGTTTGGAAGCTATTTATCTGACAGAACTCAACGGACTGTTTTTAATGATTCTGTTTCCAGTCTTGTGGGGAATAACCTTGGAGTGCCCCAGGGAAGTGTATTAGGGCTCCTTTTATTTATTATGTATATTAATGACTTGCGACGTGTTTTACGATTTTGCGACATTAATCTTTTGCAGATGATACTGTGTTATTCATTGCAGCTTAGGATTTAGATCATACCGTTTTACACTAAAATGAAGATTTGCGTTCTCTAAGTAGATGGCTGAAATATAAGCAGTTGAAATTGAATAGAAGTAAAACTAAATATATGGTAATTTCGCGGAATCGAGTAAATGAGAACGTATCTGTTGTAATTCATGATGAGACTATTGATCGCGTTCGGAAGATTAAATATCTTGGCGTGATTATTGATGACATACTTAAGTTCAATTCTCACATTGACAATGTCATCAAGAAAATGGCCAAGAAGTATGGCCAGTAAAATACAGCTATACAAATCAATCATCTCTCCTCATCTAGACTTTTGCCCTTTCATTTTATTTCTGGCCAATGCAACATAAATATCGAGATTACAGCGCTTGCAGAATAAAATAATGCGTTTGATTTTGAGATGTAATAGATTCACTTCCTCAACTTTGATGTTAGACGCTTTACAATGGTTGTCGGTGAAGCAAAGAATTGTATATTTGACTATGGTGTTCATTTTTAAAGTAGTTAACGGTTTGCTGCCTCGATATTTGTGTGATCGAATTGAAAGAGGAAGTGACATTCATATATATAATACTAGAAACGCAGTTGAAATTTGAACACCACATTTTTGGACTTATGTTTCACAAAAATCATTATATGTTAAAGGAATATATGTTTTCTATTCGATGCCTAGACATATCAAACGTTCAGCAACACTTATAGAATTTAAAAGACACTGCATTTCACACGTTAAAACTTGATTTTTTCATGAATTGACAAATTATGTATCTTGACGAAGTTATCTCTAACGGATTATTTTATATGGATAGCTGTCATAACGGCTTTTTTAATGATTATTTTAGCACTGCAAAAACTATTCCTGTTCGCCACGAGGGTGATGATGGATTTTTAATATTTGATTTAATAGTTGATTAATTAAAAAAAAGTAGTCTACAAAGGTTTGAGCCTCGCGCGCGTATAACGGATATAGAGGACTGAATTTAACATTTGATAAAAAATGCAAGTTTGAAGCTTATTTGGAAGATACCTTGAGCTAGTAGTAAGTTTTCTGACAAGTGTTGGGGGTTCGTGAACATTCCTGACACTACTGAAAATTATGATAGCATCAGATTGCGGGGTTTCTAGTGGAATAGGATGCTTTTTTGATTGTTCACTAGCTCTTGATTGCTTGTAATACTTGTACTACTTGTAACATTACTCGCAAGAAAATGGCCTTACAAGGTTTGTTTACAAAATGGAGTTGAGGCCATTTCAATTGTTGGTCTTGAATTGTCACCTTAAATCCAAAAACTGTACTATATCTTATCTAAGAATAAAGTGAATTAATCGTTGCAATTCAGGATTGACGTTTTTTTTAAGTCTCAATATTCGAAATTCTATGTACCTCGGTAATACTGTACCAGGGAGGCAACTTCAAAATCATCTTCAGAACTTTGTTCTGAATCCTTTGAAGTGCTTTTTTCCTGGTAGTGCATCAATAAGACCATATTGGCACAGCATACAGAATGGTCGGTCTAAAAACTTGTTTAAATATTAGACGTTTATTCTTCAGGCATAGTTTGGATTTCCTGTTTATAAGAGTATACAAACATTTTATATATTTGTTACATTTGGCTTGAATGCCCTCAATGTGATATTTAAAAGTTAATTTTTGGGCAAATGATAATCCAAGATATGTCACCTGCTTTCCCCAGGAAATCGAAACTCCGTTCATTGTGACTTTGTGACTACTGCTAGGTTTAAAAAACGAAGCTCTAGGATTATGTGGAAATATTATAAGTTGAGTTTTGGAAGCGTTGGGAATAAAGAAGAAGAGAAAATATCTAAACTTTTCTGCAGTCTGCTTCAAATAACACGAAGACTTCTTCCTTTAGTGGAAATGCCTGTGTCATCAGCGAACAATCT